CTGTAAGAGGACTGTCCCCGACCTGCGCTTTAAAGTGCAGGGCCTGACCGAGGGAGTAGAGTATGAGTTTAGAGTAACTGCTGAGAATAAGGCCGGATTTGGAGAGCCAAGTGAGCCATCGCATCCTGTAATGACCAAAGACATCGTGTGTAAGTAAACCCAGTCTTTCCATGAAATTGCAAACTGCACCTGAAAATACAAAAATAGCTTACAAATCTACCTCTTGTTTTTCATGTCCTTTTAGACCCACCTGGTCCCCCATCCAACCCAAGAATTACTGAAACTACAAAGACCACAGCCACCTTTGCCTGGGGCCGTCCCCATTACGACGGTGGCCTTGAAGTGGACGGATACATTGTTGAGTACAAGAAGGAAGGGCACGATGACTGGGAAGTAGAAACTCAGTACCCAGTGAAAGTTACCGAGTACGTTCTTGGCAAGCTTCAGAAAAGAGGCAAATACCACTTCAGGGTCAGCGCTGTGAACTCTGAGGGAGTGGGCGAGCCTGCTGAGGTTGAGAAAGTCACTGAATTGGTGGACCTGGAAACAATACCAGACTTCGAGCTAGATGCCGAACTTAGGAGGACACTTGTGGTCAGGAGCCGTGCGTCAATCCGCATGTTTGTTCCAATCAAAGGCCGCCCCGTTCCTGAGGTGACCTGGAGCAAGGACGACGTCAACCTGAAAGCTCGCGCACACATCGACACCACAGAGTCTTACACTCTGCTGGTTATTCCTGACTGCACCAGATATGATGCTGGAAAGTATAACCTCTGTCTGGAAAATGTTGCTGGTAAGAAGACCGGCTTCGTTAATGTGAAGGTTTTGGACACACCAGGACCACCAGTCAACCTTAAACCGAGGGAGATCACCAAGAACAGCATCACCTTGCAGTGGGAAATCCCCATAATTGATGGCGGTTCTAAGATTCATAGATATGTTATTGAGAAGCGAGATGCTACTAAGAAGGCCTACACAGTGCTTACCACCACCTGGCAGAAGTGTTCCTTCAAATTTGCAGGCCTTGAGGAGGGAGCTTACTACTACTTCCGCATATCAGCTGAGAATGATCTGGGTGTGGGCGAGCCTGCTGAGACTCCTGAGCCAATCAGAGTTTCTCAAGCCCCCTCTCCACCAGAAAACCTGTATGTCACTGATGTGAGTGCTGACAGTGCCAGCCTTGCATGGACGAAGCCCCTCCATGACGGTGGCAGCCTGATCACAGGGTATGTCATTGAGGCTCAGAAGAAGGACACTGACCAGTGGCTCCACATGATGACCATCAAGGCCCTGGATTACACAGTCCCAGATCTGACTGAGGGTGCTGAATACACCTTCCGTATCATGGCTGTCAATGCTTCGGGCAGGAGCGATCCTCGGGAGAGCAGGCCAGCTGTGATAAAAGAGCAAACCTCTGCTCCCTCGTTTGATCTGCGCGGGGTCTACCAGAAGACTGTTGTGGCCAAGGCAGGGGACCGTGTGAAGGTGGAGATTCCAGTGCTCGGCAAACCTAGGCCTGCCGTTTCCTGGAAGAGGGGAGACACAGCGCTGAAGGAGACACAGAGAATCAACACTGAAACCACACAAACATCAACTATCCTGAACATCGGTGAGATTAAAAGAACTGACGGAGGCGAGTATTCCATGACCGGAAAGAACATGCTGGGCACAGTGACAGAAATCATCACAGTCCTGGTACACGACCTTCCTGGTCCTCCCACTGGTCCCATCAAGCTGGACGAGGTCTCATGTGACTACGTCCTCATGTCATGGGAGGCACCAGAGAACGATGGAGGTGTTCCAATCAACAACTATATCGTTGAAATGAGGGAGACCACTGGCACCTCATGGGTGGAGCTGGCAGCTACAGTGATCCGCACAACTTTCAAAGCAGCTCGCCTCAACACTGGAACCCAGTATCAGTTCCGCGTCAGGGCCCAGAACAGATATGGCATCGGCCCTTGTATTGTCTCTGAGGCAGTGCTGGCAGCTTATCCGTTTGACGTACCAGGCCAGCCTGGCAGTCCTGTGATCACATCTTTCAACAAGGATGCTATGGTCATCAGCTGGAATGAGCCCTCCTCTGACGGGGGCAGTCCCATTCTGGGCTACCACGTTGACCGAAAAGAGAAAAACAGCATTCTGTGGCAGAGGATCAGCAAAGCGCTTGTTGTTGGAAATATCTTCAAGTCAACAGGCCTTGTGGATGGCATTGCATATGAACACCGTGTTATTGCTGAGAACATGGCCGGTCTGAGCAAACCCAGCAAACCCTCTGAGACTATGTATGCTTTGGACCCAGTTGACCCACCAGGCAGACCTGTGGCACTAAATATCACCAGACATGAGGTCACAGTGTCGTGGACCAAACCAGAGGGTGATGGTGGATTTTCCATTACGGGATACACAGTGGAGAGGAGAGAGATGCCTAATGGACGCTGGCTTAAAGCAAACTTCAACAACATTCTGGAAACGGTCTACACAGTCAGCGGTCTGATTGAAGATGCAACCTACGAGTTCCGTGTCTTTGCTAGAAACTCAGCAGGAGGTGTCAGTGCTCCATCTAAGCCATCAGAGGCCATTACATGTAGAGATGACATTGAAGAGCCCAGGCTTGACGTCGATGCATCATACAGCAGCAATGTGGTGGTGATGGCAGGAGAGGTGTTCAAGCTGGAAGCCAACGTGACCGGCAGGCCAATTCCATCCCTGGTTTGGACCAAGGAAGGAAAGGAGCTGGGAGATACAGGCAAGCTGGAAATAAAGACGTTTGACTTCCACACAACCTTAACAAACAAAGACTCACTGCGGAAAGATGGGGGAGCTTTCACTCTGACTGCCAGCAATCCTGGTGGCTTTGCCAAGTTCACATTCAACGTCAAGGTACTCGACAGACCTGGACCTCCAGACTCACTAACAGTTACAGATATCGCTGCTGAGAGATGCGTCCTGAACTGGCTGCATCCAACACATGATGGTGGTGCCAAGATCGAGTACTTTATCATTCAGAAACGGGAGACCAGTAGGCTGGCATGGACCAACGTGGCCACAGACCTTCAGGCCAACAGGTTCAAGGTCACCAAGCTCCTTAAAGGCAATGAATATATTTTCAGAGTCATGGCTGTTAATAAGTATGGTGTTGGTGAACCCCTGGAGTCTGAACCTGTAATATGTACCAACCCCTATGTGCCAAGTGACCCCCCCTCACAGCCTGAGGTCACCACAATAACAAAGGATTCTATGGTTGTCTGTTGGGAGCGTCCTGAACATGATGGAGGCAGTGGAATTAATACTTATATAATTGAAAGAAGGGATAAAACTGGCCTGCGCTGGGTGAAGTGTAACAAGAGGACCGTAACTGATTTGCGTTTCAAAGTGTCTGGTCTCACAGTCGGACACGAGTATGAATTCAGAGTTCTGGCTGAAAACAACGCAGGTCTGAGCCAACCTAGTCCTTCTAGTCCATTCTACAAAGCCGTGGACACCATCTTCCAGCCTGGACCTCCAGGTAACCCCAGAGTGCTGGACACTACCAAGTCCTCCATCACTCTTGCCTGGAACAAACCTGTCTATGATGGTGGTTCAGAAATAACAGGCTACATTGTGGAAACCTGTCTGCCAGAAGAGGATGAGTGGACCATCCATACTCCCAAAAAGGGATGGACAGCCACTTCATTCACCATTACCAACCTGAAGGAAAATCAGGACTACAAAATCAACATCTGTGCCACTAATTGTGAAGGAGTGGGAGAACCCGCTGCTGTTCCTGGAACTCCTACGGCTGAAGACAGACTGCTCCCTCCAGAAATTGATCTTGGAGCCGAGCTGCGTAAGGTAGTCTGCATCAGATCCTGCAGTACACTCAGACTCTTCGTCCCAATCAAGGGCAGACCAGCACCTGAAGTAAAATGGTCAAGAGAGCATGGCGTTTCCCTCGACAAGGCTAACATAGAAATTACCCCATCATTCACCACTCTTCAGATTGAAAATGTCGACAGGTTTGATGGAGGTAAATACATGGTGACTGTGGAGAATGCTTCCGGAAGTAAGACAGCTTTTGTCAATGTCAGGGTGTTGGACACTCCTGGAGCACCTCAGAATCTTGTTATTAAGGAGGTCACTAGAGATTCAGTTTCTCTGGTTTGGGACGCACCGCTCATAGATGGGGGCTCCAGAGTCCGCAGCTATGTTGTGGAGAAGCGTGAGTCAACCAGGAAAGCCTATTCGACGGTCTGTGCCAGTTGCCATAAGTCAAGTTGGAAGATTGGTGACCTTGAAGAAGGAAAAATGTACTTCTTCAGAATCCTGGCCGAAAACGAATATGGTATTGGTCTCCCAGCAGAGACACTTGAGCCGATTAAAGTTTCAGAGAAACCTCTGCCACCAGGAAAAGTAACCCTCCACGAGGTTACCAGCAGCAGCGTCACACTGAGTTGGGAAAAGCCAGACCATGATGGCGGGAGCAGAATCACAGGCTACATTGTTGAAATGCAGGGTAAAGGCAGTGACAAGTGGACCCAGGTCATGGTGGTGAAGAACAATGGGGCGCAGGTAACTGGGCTGACTCAGGGAGAGGAGTACATGTTCCGCATCTCAGCCTACAATGAAAAGGGGGTCAGTGACCCACGTCCTCTCAATGTCCCCGTGGTGGCCAAAGATCTGGTCATTTCACCAACATTCAAACTGCTATTCACCACCTTCAGCGTGTTAGCAGGAGACGATCTGAAGATAGATGTACCGTATGCCGCCTGTCCGAAGGCTACAGCTGCATGGCTCAAAGATGGTGTTGCTCTCAAGGAGACAACCAGAGTCAACGCTGAGGCTACAGACAAACACCTGCTTCTGGTCATTAAGGAGGCTTGCAGAGACGATGTTGGCACATACACAATCAAACTGACTAACACAGCTGGAGAGGCTACTACAGATATCAGCGTTGTCGTCTTAGATAAACCTGGTCCTCCTACTGGTCCAATAAAGCTAGATGAGGTCACTGCTGACAGTGTGATCTTGTCTTGGAATCCACCTCTATATGACGGTGGTTGTGCCATCAACAACTACGTTGTAGAGAAAAGAGACACATCAACCACCAACTGGCAGATTGTGTCGGCCACAGTGGCCAGAACCACGATCAAGGCAGCCCGTCTGAAGACTGGATCTGAGTACCAGTTCAGGATAGCTGCAGAGAACAGATATGGCAAATCCTCAGTCCTGCTCTCTGACTCCATTGTTGCTCAATATCCATTTGAACTGCCAAGTGCCCCACGTTCTGTTGTGGTCCAGTCAGCCACCAGGGAGACCATGGTAGTTGTGTGGGAGAAACCAAGCAATGATGGTGGAAGCAAAATTACCGGTTACCACTTGGAGCTCAAAGAGAAGAACAGTATCCTGTGGGTGAAACAGAACAAACAAATCATCCCAGAGACTAGATTCAAGGTAGTTGGCCTTGAGGAGGGCATTGACTATGAGTTCAGGGTCTATGCTGAGAACATTGTTGGCCTTAGCAAAGCCAGCAAAGTTAGTGAAATGCAAGTGGCCAGAGATCCTTGTGACAGACCAGGAAAACCAGAAGCTGTCATTGTGACAAGAAGCCACGTGACACTCAGATGGACCAAACCTGAGTATGATGGTGGCATCAAAATCACAGGATATGTGGTTGAGAAGAAGGAAGGAAGTGGTCGCTGGATGAAAGCCAGTTTCGCAAACATCCTTGAAACTGAATTTGTTGTCACAGGACTCACTGAAGATCAGGTTTACGAGTTCCGTGTTATTGCCAGAAATTCAGCCGGTGTCTTCAGTCAGCCGTCCGATTCCACTGGAGCTATCACTGCAAAGGATGAGGTAGATCCACCCAAAATTGATTTGGAGGCTAAATATTCGCAGGCTGTGGTGGTAAATGCAGGGGAGACATTCAAACTCGAAGCCGGTGTGTATGGCAAGCCTGTGCCCAGCATACACTGGCTGAAAGAGGGCCATGAGATCACAGAAGCAGCTCGCTTAGAGATCAAGAACACTGACTTTGTGGCTTGCATAGTTGTTAAGGAAGCCATTCGTGTTGACGGAGGCCAGTACACTTTGCTGGTAAAGAATGTTGGAGGAGAGAAATCTGTTAACATCAATGTCAAGGTCTTGGACAGGCCAGGTCCACCTGAGGGCCCCATCTCTATATACGGAGTCACAAGTGAGAAATGTTCCATTTCCTGGAAACCTCCATTGCAGGATGGAGGTAGTGATGTTTCCCATTACATCGTTGAACGGAGGGAAACCAGTAGGCTGGTTTGGACTGTGGTTGAACAAAAGGTTCAGACACTCAACCTGAAGATCACCAAACTTCTTCCAGGCAATGAATACATCTTCAGAGTGATCCCAGTCAACAAATATGGCATTGGTGAGCCCCTGGAATCCGAGTCGATGATTGCCAGGAATCCATTCGTCACTCCTAGCCCACCAACAGAGGTGGAGGTCTCCACAATCACCAAGGACTCTATGGTGGTAACCTGGGAGAGACCAGCTAATGATGGTGGGAGCTCTATCCAAGGATACGTCGTTGAGAAACGTGACAAGGATGGTGTAAGGTGGACAAGGTGCAACAAGCGCACTGTAAGTGAACTGCGCTTCAGAGTGACAGGACTTCTGGAAAACCATAGCTATGAATTCAGAGTTTCTGCTGAAAATGCTGCTGGAGTAGGGACACCAAGCACACCAACAGTGTACTACAAAGCGCTGGACCCCATCTTTAAACCAGGCCCACCAAACAACCCTAAGGTAGTGGACACATCCAGGTCCACTGTCTCCCTGACATGGGGCAAACCCATCTATGATGGTGGCTGTGAGATCCAGGCCTACATTGTGGAAGCATGTAACGGTGATTCTGATGAGTGGTTTATGTGCACTCCTCCTACTGGAATCACAGACACTAAGTTCACAGTGAAAAAGCTTCTTGAGAAGCACGAGTACCAGTTCAGAGTATGTGCAGTCAATAAAGTTGGCGTTGGCGAGCATGCTGATGTTCCTGGAAAACTCCTTCTCGAGGAGAAGCTTGAGGCTCCTGATCTGGAACTGGATAACGACATGAGGAAAATGATCAACATCAGATCAGCCTGTACTCTCCGGCTGTTTGTTCCTGTGAGAGGTCGCCCAGCTCCTGAGTTGAAATGGGGCAAAGCTGATGGGGAAATTAAGGACACGGCTCAGATTGACAACACAAGTAGCTACGCTTCACTTGTTATAGAAAACGTTGACAGATTTGACAGTGGCAAGTACACCCTGACTGCAGAAAATGCAAGTGGAATAAAGTCTGTGTTCATCAGTGTCAGAGTGCTGGACTCCCCAAGTCCACCCACTAACTTTGTGGTGAAAGAGATAACAAAGAACTCGGTCACTCTAACATGGGAGCCTCCACTTCTGGACGGTGGCTCAAAGATTAAGCATTACATTGTTGAGAAGCGTGAGAGCACCAGGAAGGTTTATTCGCCAATCACCACCTGCAACAGGATGTCATGGAAAGTTGAGTCTCTGCCAGAAGGTGGAATCTTCTTCTTCAGAGTCCTGGCTGAGAATGAATATGGCCTTGGTCTCCCTGCTAAAACTTTAGACCCAATCAAAATATCTGAGAAGCCTCAGCCACCCGGAAAGGTCAGCGTTGTTGACGTCACCCGTAGCAGTGTTTCCCTTTGCTGGGAAAAGCCTCAGCATGATGGCGGCAGTAGGATCAGTCACTATGAAGTCGAAGTGGCTCCGAAGGACAGCGAAACTTGGACCTTGTGTGCCAGTGTGAAGGCTGTGGAGACAGTAGTGTCCAACCTTCTCAAAGGAGAAGAATATCAGTTTAGAGTGACTGCCGTAAATGACAAAGGCAAAAGTGACCCAAGACAGTTGGCTCAGACGGTTGTTGCAAAGGACCTTGTCATTGAGCCCTCTGTTAGACCCAAAGTGAGTTCCTACAGTGTACAGGTGGGATATGATCTCAAGATAGAAGTTCCTATTGCTGGTCATCCAAAGCCTACCATCACCTGGACCAAAGATGGAGCAGCCCTTAAACAGACCACCAGAGTTAATGTCACTGACTCGGCTCATCACACTACCCTTACCATAAAGGATGCCACTAAGGATGATGGAGGCATGTACTCGATCAATATTGCCAATGCACTGGGTTCAAAGGACGCCACCATAGAGGTGATCACCCTGGACAAACCAGGCCCACCGACAGGCCCTGTGAAAATTGAGGATGTCAGTGCTGAAAGTATGACCCTCAACTGGGAACCTCCCACGTACACAGGTGGCTGCCCGATCTCCAACTATGTGGTGGAGAAGAGAGACACAACCACAACTAATTGGGTGGTTGTTTCTGCAACAGTTGCAAGAACCACACTCAAAGTGGCCAATCTGAAGACCGGTGCTGAATACCAGTTCAGAATCTCTGCAGAGAACAGATATGGAAAGAGTTATGCAATTGATTCAGAACCAGTTCTGGCACAGTATCCGTTCCAGGAGCCTGGCCCTCCAGGGACTCCATTTGTATCCTCATACACTAAGGATTATATGGTGGTTGAGTGGCATAAACCCCCATCGGATGGAGGCAGTGCAATCTTGGGCTACCATTTGGAGAGGAAAGAGAAAAACAGTATCCTCTGGACCAAAATAAACAAAATGCTCATCCAGGACTGTAGATTCAAATCCACTCCTCTTGAGGAAGGCATTGAGTACGAGTACAGAGTATACGCTGAAAATATAGTTGGCATTGGAAAGTGTAGCAAAGTGTCAGAGGTTTATGTAGCCCGTGACCCATGCGATCCTCCTGGCCGCCCCGAGGCCATCATTGTGACCAGGCACTCAGTTAAACTCAAGTGGACCCCGCCACAATATGATGGTGGAAGCCTTGTGACTGGCTATGTGGTGGAGAAACGTGACCTTCCAGAGGGAAAATGGATGAAAGCTAGCTTTGCGAATGTTATTGATCTTGAATTCACAGTTACTGGTCTGATGGAGGACAGTAAATATGACTTCAGAGTAATTGCAAGGAATGGCGCTGGTGCAGTCAGCAAGCCTTCTGAGACCACAGGATCCATAACAGCCAAAGATGAGGTTGAGCCACCCAAGTGTGAGACAGATGCAATGTACAACCAGACAATAGTTCTTAATGCTGGAGAGACATTTACTCTGGAGGCCAGCGTTGAAGGAAAACCAATTCCAACAGCTCAGTGGTTCAAGGGAACTGTCGAGGTTGAGAACTCTGCTAGAGCTGAGATCAAAAACACAGATTTCAAAGCTTTGCTTGTTGTGAAGGATGCCATCAGAGTGGACGGTGGCCAGTACACCCTGGTTCTCACAAATGTGGCCGGAACCAAGACTGTCCCATTCAGTGTGAAGGTTCTGGACAGACCAGGGCCCTCAGAGGGACCCCTCACAGTCAGCAATGTAACTGAGGAGAAATGCTCACTGTCATGGCTACCACCCAGACATGATGGAGGAGCTAGTATTTCTCACTACATTATTCAGAAGAGAGAAACCAGCCGCCTGGCATGGACTGTGGTCTCCAGTGACTGCGGAGCTACAATGTTCAAGGTTACCAAACTATTGAAGGGCAATGAGTACATCTTCAGAGTGATGGCTGTCAACAAATACGGTGAAGGCGAGCCTCTTGAATCAGCCCCTGTGATTATGAGGAATCCATTTGTTCCCCCTGGCTCACCTCAGGAGCTTGAGATCACTAACATCACCAGAGATTCTATGACCGTCTGCTGGAACCGCCCGGGGACCACAGGAGGCAGCGACATCGCTGGCTACATCATTGAAAAGAGAGACCGAGCTGGAGTGAGGTGGACCAAGTGCAACAAACGCCGCGTGACAGACCTGCGTTTCCGGGTAACAGGACTGACTGAGGACCATGAATATGAGTTCAGGGTGTCGGCTGAGAATGCAGCTGGAGTTGGCCTGCCAAGCCCAGCAACAAGCTATCTCAAAGCCTGTGACCCCACCTTTGAACCAGGCTGTCCCACAAATGTCCACATGGTCGACACATCAAAAGACTCCGTCACCGTCGCTTGGCATCGGCCAATCTATGACGGTGGTTGTGAGATACAGGGGTATGCGGTTGAAATTACTAAGGCTGATGAAGAGGAATGGACCATATGCACACCACCCACTGGGGTCAATGACACCAAGTTTACCATCAAAAAGTTGATAGAGCACCAAGAATACAAGGTCCGTATTTGTGCCATCAATAAACTGGGCGTTGGTGAGCCAACAGAGATGGAGGGGGTTGTAAAGCCTTTGGACAAGATTGATCCACCAGAGATGATTCTGAGTTCAGAGCTCAGGAAGGGAATAGTTGTCAGAGCAGCAGGCTCAATGAGAATATTGATTCCTTTCAAGGGCCGTCCCATCCCTGAAGTAAACTGGGCTAAGGAAGATGGCGTGCTGCCAAGTAAAGCTCAGATTGAGACCGGTGACGATTACACGCAGCTATCCATTGACATCTGTGACAAATATGATGCAGGCAAATATATCCTCACCTTAGAAAACACCGCTGGCACCAAATCAGCATTTGTTTCTGTTAAAGTTCTGGACACCCCAGGGGCTCCATTAAACCTGACAGTGAAAGACATTAAGAGACAGAGTGTCACTCTAACTTGGGAGCCTCCTGTTATTGACGGTGGTTCAAGGATTAAGAATTACCTGGTTGAAAAGCGTGAGTCCACCAGGAAAGTTTACTCTAATGTTGACAACAAATGCACCAAAACAAGCTATCGCATCACTGGCCTCACTGAAGGAACCATCTACTATTTCAGGATCTTAGCTGAGAATGAATTTGGTGTGGGACAGGGAGCGGAAACACAAGAAGCAGTTAAAACATCTGAGCCGCCTCTACCTGTGGGTAAGGTCACGTTGACCGAAGTCACCAAAAAATCTGCCACTCTCTCCTGGGAGAAGCCAGATCACGACGGAGGCAGCAGGATTGTCGGTTACTACATTGAGATGCAGCCCGTTGGCTCAGAGGAATGGGTGGTGGCTGTCACAAGCAAAGCATGTGAGGGCACCGTCACAGGCCTTAGTGCAGGGCACGAGTACCTGTTCAGAGTCTCAGCCTTCAATGAGAAGGGCAAGAGTGACCCTAGAGCTTTGGCTGTTCCAGTCACTGCTAAAGATGTCACTATTGAGCCTAGGTTCAAGATGAGATTCAATACATACAGCTTGCAAAATGGTGAGGATCTGAAGATAGAGATCCCAGTGATCGGACGCCCTGCTCCCAAGGTTGAGTGGAAAAAGGAAGGACAAGCCCTCAAGGAGACAACTAGATTAAATGTGCTGAGCACACCATCATCCACTAAACTTGTCATTAAAGATGCCAACAAAGAAGACTCTGGTAAATACACTATCACAGCCACCAGCAGCATTGGAACAGCTACAGAAGAGATCACTGTCATTATTCTGGAGAAGCCCGGACCACCCACAGGCCCTGTGAAAATTGAGGAAGTGAGCTCTAATTATGTGTGTCTGTCCTGGGAGCCACCAGTATATACTGGAGGCTGTCAGATCAATAACTACATTGTAGAGAAGAGAGACACAACCACCACAGCATGGCAGATTGTGTCTGCTACTATTGCCAGGACGACCATTAAGGTCAGCAAACTGAGGACTGGCGTAGAGTATCAGTTCAGAGTGTCTGCCGAGAACAGATATGGAAAGAGTTCAGCTATTCTCTCTGCTGCAGTTATTGCTCAGTATCCATTCAGTGAGCCTGCCGCACCAGGAACACCAGTTGTAACAGCTTCAACCAAAGACAACATGGTGGTGGAGTGGAAACCTCCCACTAATAATGGCGGCAGTCCCATCATTGGCTATCACCTTGAAAGAAAAGAGAAGAACAGCCTTTTGTGGACTAAACTGAACAAGCTGCTCATCCCAGATGCTCGTTTCAAGACAACAGAGCTGGAAGAAGGTATCGAATATGAATTCAGAGTTTATGCTGAGAACATCGCTGGTCTTAGCCCAGCTAGCAAAGTTTCGGAGACTACAGTAGCCAGGGACCCATGTGATCCTCCAAGCACTCCTGAGGCCATCGATATCACCCGAAACCATGTAACACTCCGGTGGTCAAAGCCCCAGTATGATGGAGGCAGTGCCATAACTGGCTACGTGGTTGAGAGGAGGAAGCACCCAGATACTCGGTGGATGAAAGCCAGCTTCGCCAATATCATTGATACACAGTTTACCGTGTCTGGTCTCACTGAGGACTGTGTTTATGAGTTCAGAGTCATCGCCAGGAACGGCGCTGGCATCAGCAGTCGTCCGTCTGAAAGCACCGGAGAAATAACTGCTCAAGATGCTATTGAGGCTCCAGAGGCCACTATGGATCCTAAATTCAAGGATCTGACTGTGGTTCATGCGGGTGAGACTTTCGAGATTGATGCAGATTACATTGGCAAGCCACTGCCTGAGGTCATTTGGTTAAAGGATGGCAAGGAAATAGACAAAACCACTCCAAGAATGGAAGTCAAGACCACTCTTACACGCACCATTCTCACAGTCAAGGAGTGCATCAGAGTGGATGGTGGTCACTTTGTCCTGAAACTAGTCAATGTGGGTGGAGTAAAGATGATCCCAGTCAATGTTAAAGTTCTAGACAGACCCGGTCCTCCAGACGGCCCATTAGAAATCAAAGGAGTCACAGCAGAGAAATGTTATCTACACTGGAACCATCCTTCACATGATGGGGGGGCCAGTATCTCTCACTACATCATAGAGAAGAGAGAGACCAGCCGTTTGTCATGGACCGTTGTTGAGCCAAAGATCCAAGCCATCAGCTACAAAGTCACCAAGCTGCTCCCTGGCAATGAATACATCTTCAGAGTCACAGCTGTGAATAAATATGGTGTTGGTGAGCCTTTAGAGTCTGACCCTGTCATCGCCCGCAACCCGTTCACCACTCCCAGTGCCCCCTCCACTCCAGAGGAAAGCGCCGTCACCAGAGACTCGATTGTGGTCACTTGGGAGAGACCTGAACATAACGGAGGAGCTGAAATTGAAGGATACATCCTTGAAAAACGTGACAAGGACGGTGTCAGATGGACTAAGTGCAACAAGAAGAGGCTGAATGACCTGAGATTCCGTTGCACAGGCCTCACAGAGGGCCACTGCTATGAATTCAGGGTCTCAGCAGAAAACGCTGCTGGCATCGGAAAGCCCAGTGCACCAACACAATACATCAAGGCCTGTGATGCAACTTATCCACCAGGACCTCCCAACAACCCCAAAGTCATCGATCACTCAAGTACATCCGTCTCCCTGTCGTGGTCCAGGCCAATCTATGATGGAGGGGCACAGATCACAGGGTATCATGTTGAAAGGAAGGAGGCTACAGATGATGAATGGATTGTCTGCACACCTCCCACCGGAGTCCAAGAAACCCACTACACTGTAAAGATGCTGAAAGAGAACGCAGAGTACAACTTCCGCATCTGCGCCATAAACTGTGAGGGTGTCGGGGATCATGTGGACCTGCCTGGTTCTGTGATCGCTGCTGAGAAGGTCGAGGCTCCTGAAATTGAACTGGATGCTGACTTGAGGAAGATGGTCAATGTCCGTGCGACAGCCACTCTACGTCTGTTTGTGACAATCAGGGGGAAGCCTGAACCTGAGGTCAAATGGTCAAAGGCCGACGGCACTCTGAACGAAAGGGCTCAGATTGACGTAACTAGCTCCTATACAATGCTGGTTATTGAAAATGTGGATAGGTTTGACACTGGCAAATATGTGCTGACCCTTGAAAACCTCAGTGGCTCTAAGTCCGCCTTTATCAACGTTAGAGTTCTGGATTCACCCAGCGCTCCAACTAACCTTGAGGTTAAGGATGTGAAGAGACATTCTGTTTCCATTTCTTGGGAGCCTCCGCTCATTGATGGTGGAGCCAAAATATCACACTATATTGTGGAAAAGAGGGAGCAGAAAAGAATGGCTTTTACCAGTGTTTGCACAAACTGTGTGAGGAACTCCTACATCATCTCTGACCTGCAGGAAGGAGGAAGGTACTATTTCCGTGTGCTGGCTGTGAATGAGTTGGGAGTAGGACTCCCTGCTTCCACAGATCAAGTGAAGGTATCAGAGGCTCCTTTGCCTCCTGGTAAGGTTCTCCTGGTTGATGTGACTCGTCACACTGTCACCCTTTCCTGGGAAAAGCCTGATCATGATGGAGGCAGCAAAATCACAAGTTACATCGTTGAAATGCAGCCCAAAGGAGATGACAAATGGACAGTTTGCAGTGAGGCCAAAGCACTTGAAGCTACTATTGATGGACTGACAAAAGGTGAAGAATATTCCTTCAGGGTGACGGCCGTAAATGACAAGGGTAAGAGTGATCCCAAGCCTTTGGCTGCTCCTGTGGTCGTGAAGGACATCACAATGGAGCCTATCATCAACTTGCTGTTCAGCACATACAGTGTAAAAGCAGGAGATGATTTGAAGATTGACGTTCCCTTCAGAGCGCGGCCCCAGCCTGAGGTGGCCTGGAAGAAGAATGGCCATACCCTTAAACAGACAACCAGAGTAAATGTTCTTAATTCTAAGACCTCATCCAAGATCACCATTAAGGATGCCTCCAAGGATGATGTTGGAAAGTATGAGATCACACTGACCAACACAATTGGAGCCAAGACAGCAGAAATCTCCGTCGTAGTCCTGGACAAGCCTGGCCCACCCAGCAACATTAAGATGGACGAAGTGAGCGCTGACTTCATCTCGCTGTCCTGGGACCCACCAGTTTATGATGGTGGATGCCAGATTAACAACTATGTGGTGGAGAAGAGAGACACCACCACCACAACATGGCAGATCGTGTCAGCTACAGTAGCCAGGACATCGATAAAGGTTTCTCGTCTCAATCAGGGAACGGAGTACCAGTTCCGCATCGCAGCTGAAAACCGTTACGGAAAGAGTCCTTCCATCGATTCCGCGCCTGTTGTTGCTCAGTATCCGTTTGAGCCTCCGGGTCCTCCAACCAACCTACACATCGCTCATGCTACAAAGACTAGCATGCTGGTGGAGTGGGGCAAACCTGCCAGCGATGGTGGAAGCCCTATTACAGGATATCACATTGAATGCAAAGACCAAAGTAGCATCCTGTGGACCAAAGTCAACAGAGGCCTGTTGGCTGAAAACCAATTCAAGATGAGTGGCATTGAGGAAGGCCTGTTCTATCAGTTCAGAGTCTATGCTGAAAACATCGCTGGCATCGGTCCATGCACTAAACCCTGTGAGCCTGCAGCAGCCAGGGACCCATGCGAATCTCCACGTAACCTCAAGGTAACAAATATCACCAGAAATTCTGTTTCCCTGTTCTGGGATGGGCCAGAGTACGACGGTGGAGTGAAAATTACTGGATACATTGTGGAGCGTAAAGAACTTCCCAGTGGTCGGTGGTTAAAATGCAACTTCACCAATCTGCTGGAAACATACTATGATGTCACAGGCTTGACAGAAGATGTCCAATATGACTTCCATGTTATTGCTAAGAATTCTGCTGAGCTGTTGAGTGCTCCTTCAGAAAGCACTGGGCCTGTCACCGTCAAGGACGACGTTGATCCACCAACCATAATAATGGAAGATCAGTTCAGACAACTGCTTGTCATAAAAGCTGGAGATAATATTAAAATTGATGCTGAACTCACAGGACGTCCACTCCCAGTTATCACCTGGTCTAAGGATGGAAAGGAGATTGAGGCCAAGGCCAGGTGTGAAATCACTTCCACCAACTTCACAACATCCCTGATTGTCAGAGACGCCATAAGGAGGGACTCCGGACAGTACGTTCTGACTCTGCACAATGTTGCGGGAACCAGGGCGGTGGCTGTCAACTGTAAGGTTCTGGACAGACCTGGACCAGCCTCAGGGCCTCTATCAGTGTCTGGCCTCACAGCAGAGAAATGCACAATAACGTGGGGACCTCCTCAAGAGAATGGAGGTGCTGAAATCATGCATTACATCGTGGAGAAGCGTGAGACCAGTCGCCTGGCCTGGACTCTTGTCTATGGTGACATGAAGGCAACAACCTGCAAAGTGACAAAGCTGCTTAAAGGAAATGAGTACATCTTCAGAGTAAGGGGAGTCAATAAATATGGAGATGGAGAGCCTCTGGAGAGCGACCCAGTAAAGGCCAGGGATCCATTCACTGTGCCCGCCGCCCCCACAAATGTCCAGGTCACCTCAGTTACCAGTGAGGCAATGACCATCTGTTGGGAAAGACCAGTTTCTGACGGTGGCAGCAGCCTTGCTGGATATGTGATTGAGAGGCGAGAGAAGACGGGTCTTCGTTGGTGCCGTGTCAACAAGAAGCCTGTTTACGACCTGAGAGTGAAATCTTCAAACCTCCGGGAGGGCTGTGAGTATGAGTACAGAGTGTTTGCAGAAAACGCTGCTGGCCTTAGTGCTCCTAGCGTCCCTTGCCCACTGACCAAGGCTGAGGACCCACAGTTCCTGCCCTCACCCCCAGCTAAACCTAAGATCATTGACTCTACAAAGGCCACCGTCACCCTGTCCTGGAACAGGCCACTGTTTGATGGTGGAGCACCTGTGACTGGTTACAGAGTGGAGTACAGGAAGACAATGGACGATGAATGGATTGTTGGAGTCCAGAACACCAAGAACACAGAATTCACCGTGGTGGGACTGACACCTGGGACTGAATATGTGTTTGTTGTCAAGTCCATTAACAAGATTGGAGTCAGTGAACCCAGCCAAGAGTCAGACAGACAGGTTGCCAAAGAGAAAGAGGAAGAGCCTGTCTTTGACATCAGCAACGATATGAGGAAGACCCTGATAGTGAAAGATGGAAGCTCCTTCACCATGAAGGTGCCCTTCAGAGGAAAACCCATCCCTACTGTTGCTTGGACCAAGCCTGACATTGACCTTAGAGTTCGCGCTGTCATCGACACCACTGACACCTTCACCTCCATCACCTTAGAAAAAGCCACTCGCAATGACTCTGGAAAATACACAGTCACCTTGTCCAATGTGGCGGGAACCACTTCACTTACGCTCAATGTCCGAGTGCTCGACTCACCTGGACCGCCTTCCAATGTGGGGGTCAAGGACGTGACCAAAACATCCGTCACCGTGACGTGGGACACTCCTGAAAATGAGGGTGGAGGACCAGTTAAGAACTATCTAATTGATTTCCGCGAGGCAAGCAAGAAAGGCTGGACCAGGTTGACTGACACGTGCCACAGACTCACATACAAGGTGACTGACCTGAAGGAGGGAGAAGTCTACTACTTCAGAGTGACAGGCGAGAATGAATATGGTACTGGGGTTGCTGCTGAGACCAAAGACGGAACTAAAATCTCAGGTATGAACTATCAAATTCACAATATTGTTTCCAGTTCTGAGCATTCAGGTTTAACACGATATATGTATTTCCCCCAGAAAAACCAACCCCACCGCCAAAGCTGGGAGCAACTGAGGTGACCAAGGAGAGCGTGACATTGGCCTGGGCCAAACCAGAACAAGATGGAGGCAGCAGAATTACTGGCTACCTGCTCGAGGCACTGGAGAAAGGCCAAGAGAAGTGGGTCAAGTGTGCTTTGACCAAGTTCACTCACTTCACAGTGTCTGGCCTGAGAGAGAACGCAGAGTACTTCTTCAGAGTCAGAGCTGAGAACCACGCTGGTTTCAGTGACGCCAAGGAGATGCTCACCCCTGTTGCAGTCAAAGACCAACTGGGTGAGTTCATGTCATGTCCTTATATCCTTTGAGATGGATGAACTGAGAAGCCATACAACCCACAAACAAGCTTACGTTTGATTCCATGTCATTTGCATGCATGACAGTGCTGAAAGAAGCTAAATATCTAACTTCTGCTTTTGATTGTATGTTTTTTCTGCAGAATCGCCTGAGATCATCATGAAGGACTTCCCTCACAATACAGTGTACGTCAGAGCTGGGTCCACCCTGAAGTGTGAGATCCCCCTGACCGGCTGGCCTCTGCCTAAAGTCGTTCTGTCCAAGGACAATGTTCTGCTAAAGTCAACAATGAGGTTCAACTCTGAGGTCACTCCTGACAGCATCAAGATCACTCTGCGTGAGAGCATTGCTCGAGACTCCGGACGCTACGATATCACCGCCTCCAACTCCAGTGGAACCACCAAATCCTACATTAACATTGTGATCCTGGACCGCCCCAGTCCCCCGGTTGGACCTGTGGAGCTGTTTGATGTCACAGAAGACAGCGTGAGCCTGAGGTGGCTCCCGCCATCGTATGATGGTGGCAGCCCCATCACCAACTACATCATCCAGAAACGCGAGACGACCACAGCCAGCTGGATGGACGTATCTTCTGCCGTGGCCCGCTGCACCATGAAGATCCTGAAGCTGACCACAGGCCTGGAGTATCAGTTCAGAATCAAAGCTGAGAACAGATATGGAATCAGTGAGCACATCGACTCACCAGTGGTCGCTGTCAACCTTCCATACAGTAAGTAACGTCCCCTTTTTGCCCCCTTTTCAATCTTCAAATTGAGTGATTTTCTTACCTTTGAACAACCTTTAGCTTTTTCTTACCTTGAAACTCTGCCTGTATCCACCAGCCATTCCAGACGCACCATCAACTCCAGAAGTTACTGCTGTAACCAGGGAGACCGTCACTGTGGCCTGGAAGGAGCCCAAGTCGGACGGAGGCAGCCATGTGTTTGGCTACCACCTGCAGATGAAGGACAGAAACAGCATCCTCTGGCAGAGGGTTAATAAGATGGTGATCCGGGCTACACACTACAAGGTCACCAACATAAATGCTGGCCTTATTTATGAGTTCAAGGTGGCAGCAGAGAACGCCGCTGGACTCAGTGCTTTCAGCAAATCTTCGGATCCTGTGTTGGCCATCGATGCCTGTGGTGAGTGAGAAGCCAACCCTTCTGTAAACAGTGCAACGAAAATAAATCAAATTTAGTTTGACTTACCCTCATTTGTTTGCTCCCGCAGAGCCACCCATCAACCTGCGCATCAATGACATCACCAAGAACTCCATCAGCCTGGTCTGGGAGAAACCAAACTATGACGGTGGATCCCCGATCACTGGCTACATGGTGGAGAAGAGAGAGGGTGTTAGTCCAAAGTGGTCCAAGGGCAACATCACCAATATCACAGACACTCGCTACACGGTGACTGGCCTCACTCAGGATGAAACCTACGAGTTCAGAGTCATGGCCAAGAATGCTGTCGGCTCAGTGAGCAACCCCTCGATGACGGCTGGACCAGCCACCTGCGTGGACACATACGGTACGTCTCTGGTGAAGCTGTATCACCTCAATCAATCAATCAATCAATCAATCAATCAATCAGTCAATCAATCAATGTTTATTTATATAGCACTTTACAACAACCGGAACTGACCAAAGTGCTTTACAGTAATAAAAACAGATCAAACTATCAAAATATACAAAGACAAATGCATTGGTGACAGAACCCAGTTTACAGTGATTTTACGTGCAAAACACCATTCTGAACAAATGCGTTTTGAGTTTAGCTTTGAACAGAGGCAGGTCAGTGAACGTGCGTAGCTCAGTGGGCAGAGAGTTCCACAGTTTAGGTCCTGCCACTGCAAAAGAGCCGATTCAGAGCATGATTTCACTGATATACGGAGGCAAGGCCATTAACTGCTCGAAAAACAAACATGAGTATTTTAAATTGAATCCTATACTGTACTGGGAGCCAATGTAACTGGAGTCACCTGTTAGATTTTTTATAAATACTTGTTTTGTTCATAAGCTCTTTGATGTCCATCAGAAGTGGAACTCATTTGTCTGATTTCTGTGTTCATCAGGTGCCCCAGAGATTGAAATTCCTCAGGAGTACCTTAATGAAGTCAAGCACAGGGCTGGCTCAAATGTGGAGCTTAAGTTCAACATCACAGCCAAACCTGCGCCGACTATCGAGTGGATGAAGGATGGCAAGGAGCTGAAGCCCTCTGCCCAGCTCTCTTTCAAACACACATTTGAGTCCACCAGTGTATTCCTGAGGGAAACCACTCGTCTGAACTCAGGCACATATGAGGTCAAGGTCAAGAACTCTCTGGGATCTTCGTGTGCCGTTGTTAGGCTGCTCATTCAAGGTATCCAAATATTTCATCATATACAAACATTTGTATTGCTTTATGGAAAACATATCTCAACCATGATGTAAATCTTCTTCAGATAAGCCAGGCCCCCCTGCTGGAGAAATCCAGTTTAAGAAGGTGACGGCTGACAATATCACCATCATGTGGTCCCCCCCTGCCGACGAGGGCGGCGCCATGGTGTCTCACTACATTGTGGAGAAGCGGGAGACCAGCAGGGTGATGTGGTCCATCGTCTCGGAGAAACTGGTGGACTGCATCGTGAATGTGCCCAGGCTCATCCAGGGTAACGAGTACATCTTCAGAATCCGTGGCGTCAACAAGTATGGTGTTGGAGATCCGTTGGAGTCTGAGCCCATCGTCGCCAAGAACGCGTTCGGTAACAGAAAAAACATCATTATGCTTCCCCACAGCTACAGCTCAAGCCTATTTCTGTCGAAAGAGAGCACACATTTTATCTAAAGATATTTATCATTTTCATTTCAAACAGTTCCTCCAAGTGAGCCATCAAAGCCCACAGTTACCATGATCACCAAGTCCACCATGACGGTCATCTGGGAAAGACCTGCACTGGATGGAGGCAGCGACATCGATGGCTATTACCTGGAGAAAAGGGAGAAGAAGAGTCTTCAGTGGTTCAAGGTTAGTGTTCTTATGTGTCCTCACAGGTTCTCGATGTGTAAGATGACCGACAGGTGTGAACCTAACAAAAACCCAATGTCTCCATCCAGGTGGTGAAGGGCACCATCAGAGACACCAGACAGAAGGTCGGTGGCCTGCTGGAGAACAATGAGTACCAGTACAGAGTTTGTGCTGTCAACAAGGCCGGAGCAGGAAACTACTCCGAGGCCTCTGAACTTTACAAGGCCTACGACCCCATCGGTAAGACTGTCAATTTCACAAAGCACTGAAACGCTGCAGTAGGTGTTTACAGGCAATGACTGAGAAATCCCCTTTGGTCTTCTCCAGATCTGCCTGGGGAACCCTCAAAGCTGCGAGTGGTCGACTCCACCAAGACCTCCATCACCCTGGGATGGGAGAAGCCTGTCTATGATGGAGGCAGTGAAGTCACACACTATCTGCTGGAGCAGATGAACACTGAGGACAGGGAATGGGTGACCATCAACCCACAGGTCAAGACCTGCGAGTATGTGGTGTCCCACCTCAAACCTGGGTCATACTACTTCTTCAAAGTCTCTGCTGTGAACTCCAAGGGCAAAGGAGAAAACATCAAGATGTACCAGCCTGTGCAAGCCAAAGATATTTTAGGTTCGCCTTTCTTTTGATTAAAAAAAGATGGAACAGGGATGTTCTTTGATTTTAGTTTGTGAATAATTCATGTTTCTTTTTCTCTGACAACAGAGGAGGCTGATTTGGACCTGGATGTTTCCATGACAACCCAATACACAGCCAGGGCTGGCCGTGACGTGGAGGTGTTCATCCCTGTGAAGGGACGCCCCGCTCCGAACGTCACCTGGCGTCGGGGGGATCGCAACATTGCTGCTGACACCCGGTACACCATCACCAGCACGGAGAGATCCACCACACTCCTCATACCCAAAGTCACCCGTGACGACTGTGGAAAGTATGGGCTGGAGATCGAGAACGGCGTGGGAGAACCCAAGGTCATCACGGTGTCCCTCAGGGTGCTCGACAGTCCGTCCACCTGCCAGAAACTCACCATCAAGAATGTGACGAGAGGAAAGCTCACCCTCAGCTGGGAGGCTCCTATCATCGATGGCGGCTCTCCTGTCACTAAGTACATTGTGGAGAAGAAGGCCTCGACCATGAAGGCTTACCAGGTGATCACTGACGAATGCCTCAACACATCCTACAAGGTTTCCGGCCTGGAGGAGGACCTGGCTTATTTCTTCCGCGTGTCTGCTGAAAACGAGTTTGGGGTCGGCGACACATGTGAGACCACTGAGCCTGTCAGAGCAACAGAAACTCCAGGAGCTGTTAAGAACCTGGTGATGCTGGACTCCACAAAGACCTCAGTGACCCTGCAGTGGACCAAACCCGACCACGACGGGGGCAGCCTCATCACAGAGTACATCATTGAGAAGAGAAGCCAAGAGGAAGTCAACTGGACTCTGGGTGCTACGTGCAAGCGCTGCACCTGCGAGGTCACAGGACTCAAGGAGAACACGATGATGGACTTCAGAGTCTTTGCCAAAAATGAGAAAGGCAGGAGTGACTTCTCCCAGATCGGTCCGATCACAGTGGTGGACTTCATCATTCCGCCAGAAGCAAACCTCAGCGATTATCCCAATGGAGAGCTTGCCGTACGCGTTGGTCAGAACATTCACATCGAGCTTCCCTTCAAGGGCAAACCAAGGCCTGCGATCGGCTGGCTGAAGGATAACCAGCCCCTGAAGGAGAGCGAGAAGATCCGCTTCAGGACCACCGACAACAAGACCTCAGTCACTGTCAGGGGAGCCAAGAAGGAGAATGCTGGTCAGTACACCTTAGTCCTGGACAACAGAGCTGTCAAGAACTACTTTGATATCAATGTGATCACCCTGGGCCCCCCCTCACCACCTGTTGGTCCCATCCGCTTCGATGAGATCAAAGCTCAGAGTATCATCATCTCCTGGGACCAGCCAAAGGAGGACGGTGGTGGAGAGATCACCTGCTACAGTGTGGAGAAACGCGAAACCTCCCATGCCAACTGGAAGATGGTCTGCTCCAGTGTTGTGAGGACCAGCTTCAAGATCCCCAACCTCGTAAAGGGAACCCAGTACCAGTTCAGGGTCCGTGCAGAGAACAAGTATGGAGTCAGTGAAATGCTCAACTCCTCAGATGTGATTGCCCAGCACCAATACAAAGCTCCAGGGTCACCTGGAAAGCCGGTTGCCTTCAACGTCACCAGTGATGGTATGACCATCAAGTGGGAGGCTCCGGAGTTTGATGGAGGGTCCCCCATTTTGGGTTATCATGTGGAGAAGAAGGACAGAAACAGCCTCCTTTGGCAGAAGGTGAACTCTACCATCATCTCCAACAGAGAGTACAGAATCATTGGACTAATAGAGGGACTGGAGTACTCCTTCAGGGTATACGCTGAGAATAACGCTGGACTCAGCCCTGTTAGTGAACAGAGCAAGCATGCTCTGGCCATCTCCCCTGTCGGTAAGTCCTCCACCTGACCACAAATGAGAAGCATCTGTATGTTTTCCTGTCTGTTTCTAGTCACTTTAGCCTGTTTTTTAAACGATTGCCTCACTCTCACACCAACCAGATCCCCCTGGCACCCCTGTTTGCATCGATGTCACGAGAGACTCCGTCACCTTGCAGTGGGGGGTTCCCGCACGAGATGGCGGCAGCAAAATTGTGGCCTATAGTGTGGAGAGGCGTCAAGGCCGAGCCAAATGGCTGCGATGCAACTTCACGGATATCAGTGAGACTCAGTTCACTGTGACCGGTCTCTCCGCTGGAGACAGATTCGAGTTCAGAGTAATTGCCAGAAATGCTGTTGGCACAGTTAGTCCCCCATCGAACTCCTCGGGATACATCATGACCAAGGATGAGAGCAGTGAGTATATTCAAGTCAAACATGTGTGCAAGAGTTACTGAATGTAGAAGATCTCAAATCCCTTTGATTGCATTGGTTTCTAATTCGTTGAACTTTTATCGTGGCTCCAGTTGCTCCTGAGATCGAGTGGTCTCCAGACCAGGTCCTCACCCTGAAGGCCGGAGAGAACGTGAAGCTCAGCTGCACCATCACTGGACGCCCCGTTCCACAGGTGTTGTGGTACAAGGATGGCAAGGAGATTGACAAGAGAAC